GACCCCCATGACCTCTGTGACTCCTCCATCCCCGGCTCCAAGGTCCAGGAGCCTCTCTGCCTTCCAGTCCGTCCCGATCCGTAGCAACTGCTGGAACTGGTTGGCAGAAAACACAAACATGGATCCCCGGCCCAGAAACCTGAGGCAGAGATACGGTCAGTTGGGGAGGCAGTATAAAATAACTCAGTTTGAAACCAAAGAAAGTCTCCAACACTCACCCGTTAATGGAGGTGCGTGAAACCAAAGGACTGAGGACACTTGATATCAGAGAGTGATAAAGTTGTGTGAAAAGCCAACTAGACTTCTCCTGACTACGCTTGAGAAATGCCTTGGTGTCAGAGTCCAGGTGGCTCTGGACAAACAGCGGGCGAACAGGTTCTCCCAGCAGGTCGGGACAGACCCTATACCACTAAACAAAAACAGGAAAAAACCAAGACCTTAAATGGGGAGTTAGTTTAAGTAAAAGGGTAAATGACTAAGATCTGTTGCTCATTACATGGCCAAAAAATGCAAATGGGTTATACATGTTTATCTGCAGGCAAAGCTAAATTAAAACAACCCAAAACAAAACAGAGTTAATGTGGGGTTCCTCATGGCTCCATCCTAAAGCTAGGCTTTTTTTGTGCTACTGGAAGTCAAAGGAAAAGAAAATGAAGTCATTTTATTTTACATTTCTATTCAATGGAACAAAACAGGAGTAAACTCTGGTCTTTAAAAGGTTCTAAATTATTCAAATCTAGTCTACTCTTTAGTGTAAAAAAAAAAAATACATCAGATCCACAACAGAAGAGGAAGAAATAAAGTTTATCCATTTTTCTTACACATTTAAATCCAGCCAGACCACTGACATCATTATTAAATGTTTACTTAGGAATTAATGTGATCAAACAACAAAAAGAAGCAAATCATTGAAAAATAAATGTTAATATTAGCTTTTTTGAACAAATAAATGTGTATCTGTATTTTGCACATACACTTTAATACCTCTTAGTGAAATTCAATTCTTTCTTTAGAGTAAAAAAATGTGCATAGCCTTATGTCGGTATGACTCCAGCTGTTCTACGAGGACTTCAGAGGTTTGTTAGAGAATATTAGTTTATAAGAAGCATCGGAAATACTCAGAAAAAACATTTGATTAATCAGGTGTAAAGATGTGGAGAAAATCAGAACAGCCGCAAATGCAGATTTAATTTGCTCATAAAACATTTTCCTGTAGAAACATTAACCGAAGACAATAATGCACATGTTGTGAAGGGCATCCGTAGCTCTGGTTACAGTGCGATCATTAATACAATCATCTAGATCACACGCTGCATTACTATAGTTGTAATAACTAAAGGGACAACTCTTTGGCACTGAGATGTTGGTTCTTTTTCTATGGTCAATATAAATATAGTTGGACCAAAGCAAAATACTGCGTTTTACAAAAATATTGTTTATTTTCTTTGGTAGTAAATTTCTATTATAAATAGCTCTGACCTATTATTAATGAAAATTATTAGTTTTAAAACATTTTTCCCCCCCAGTGTTGAGATCACAGATCTATGATCCATTCTGAAAATTACTGAAGCTAAAACTGTATTGCTTTAATATTTAAATCATAGTTAAAACAGAAACGTAAAAAATATATTCCAGAGACAGTTCAGTTAAGTTGTCTGTGTTAAAGCATGACAGTATAAGATTTTTTTTTTATTAGTATCATTATGTTTTCTGGCTGCAATAGGGGCCATTGGCCCCTGTTGGCCTCTCTCTAGAACCACTCTTGCCTAGGAGTAGCAGCTGTACTCTATAATCAGAGAGCCTGTGACAGAGTCCAGCAATGCATTCTACGGCTTAATGGAGATTAATCGATTACTGAAACAATCGTCAACTAATTTAGTAATCGATTAATCATTAACTGGAGTATAGAGACTCTAAAACATGCCTTTAGCTGACAGAGCGACCCACCTTGAGAAGCAATTATACAAAAATTTTGAAAAAAATTTGCATTTTAGATCAGAGTTCTTCAACAGGGGGCCCTCCACTAAGGGGTCCACGGAGGTACTGCATTGGGGTCGCAAAAGTTTTGGTTGATTAGACTTTTTTTATATCCTTCCCTGCAATTTTTTCCACTAATGAAAATGTCTTTAAATACACATTAACATGAATTCAACACACTGTAGTAAACAGATAAATGGAGGCAGACGATGTCTTTCAGTCATCAATGCACACATTCAGCGACACACAGGAGCTCTTCCAAGCTGGGCACCGTTTCATTCACAACACCTGTCCCATCAACCAGGAATCAGAATCAGAAATACTTTAATATAAATACTTGGCCTGGAAAACGTTGAAGACCTCTGCTTTAGAGTAAAACATTTTTTCATTTGTCAATATCTTCTATCCAGAACTCCTCAAGTGGAAAAGTTTTAGTTTCACAAGGTTTAATTTAGTAAAAAGTCTTCTTTAAGGAACCTTTGTCTATCCGATTATTAATCGATTAATAAAAAAAAAAATCGATTTGCCAAATCATGGTGACTGGCAGCCCTAATGCATTCAATCCCTCCTCACCTCCTGCGGGTCAGCTGCTCCTGCCTCCCCCTCCACCATGCTCATGTAGAGCGAGCGGACCAGCGGACTGCGGATGTGCTTTCCTGTCCACATCCTCCTGATGGAGAGCAGGAAGGCCACGTAGCCCAGCACCCAGGCCACAAAAACCAGAGTCCTTAGCTGCACGGGACACATAATTGAAGAAAAGGGGGAAAAAAAGATGTCTGAGAAGTGAAGCTGACAGAGAGCAACTGCCTCCTTCCAGGAGAAGTTCACACAGCGGCCAGAGATGTTTTCGTTAATAATAAATGGTGACAGAACAGAAGGAGGAGCACACCGACATGTCTCCGCTTTCAAAACAACAACTAAACAAACCTGAGGAGGGCGAGGTGGGCTTAAGGAGCCCTGCTACTGCTTAATTCTTCTTAATCTTCAGAAAATAAAAAGTCATTGTGTGCTGATAGAGAACAAACACTGTCATGCTTGGTTTTTAAGCCGCACGAGCCTCTGCTCTGCCCTAAGAGAAAACAAAAACAAAAGAAGTACTTCCGGGTTGTGCACTTCCTGACCTGCGCGACTAGGATGCGCATAGGTAAGCTGACAGGAGCAGCACTGAAAAGTGGCAATTGAACCAAATAAATAAATAAAATTAATGAAAAACATATATTTCTCCTAAATTAAAATGTTGTTATCTTCTTTTGCCTATGTTGTCTGCGGAAAAGGATTATGGCCACTGAAAAAAATAAAGTTAACAGATTTTTTAATTTTATTTCAGTTTAATTTGGGAAAAAGTCAGAATTCTGACTTTTTTCTCAGAATTTTAACTTTAACTCAAAATTCTGACTTTTTTCTCTGAATTCTGACTTTAATCTCGGAATTCTGAATTTTTCCCCATATTTAATTGAAATAAAATTTAAAAATCAGTTAACTTTATTTTTTATTTTTGAAGTGGCCCTAATCCTTTTCTGTAGCTGTCATTTCAGCGAGCGTTCGCTGCATTTCTCAGTAATGTTGATGCAGAAATTTAACCGAACTGATTCATATGAAAATTTTATCTCTAGTAGGAGAGAAATAAATAAATATTAAGGAGCTCACTCAATTAATTTTTTTAATCGACAGGTCTACGTTAGATTTAAGAATAAAATAAGTGAAAATTCTCCCTTTTTCTTAAATAGAAGACAAACATGTTCTCCATTAATAAACATGCTCTCACCTACCAGAGATAATGATTAAACAAAAAACATGCTCTTTGTTTTTAAACCATATTTGCTCATTTAGACTACAAGTAAAACTGCAACAACTGCTCCTTGTGTTTTATTTTAGTGTGGCAGATTAGATAAGATTTTATGCTTAAATATTGTCAACATTTTCTTTGCAGATTATATATATATATATATATATATATATATATATATATATATATATATATATATATATATATATATATATATATATATATATATATATATATATATATATATATATATATATTTTAGAAGAACTGCAATTAAAAACTGACATTTCCTGAATTGTGCTTCTGTCCATAGTTCTACTTTTCTAGTAAACCTTTCCTGCAATGCATGATATCTTGCTGCAGGTTTCATCTGCACGAGCAAGAGAGAAGCAATAGATTGTTTATTGACTGCAAACGTCATAACTTCATTTTCACCTATGATGAGTCAAGTCTAGTAGTCTAAGAAGGTTGAAGTTGCAGGCAAACACTCTAGATGTTCTGTGCATCTCCAGCTCTGTTTTCAACCTTATCCAGGTCTTCTGGACAATCGACCAATGGAATGGGGAAAAAAACAACATACAGTATATTGCACATAATTATGTTTAATTATTATTTCATTTAAATTTCATTTAAATATTTTATGTTAAAAAGGACTCAAATTTTCTATTTCTGATTTGATTAAAACTGATCACTTCAAAATATGGACTATTCCTGAATCATTAATGTACATTCGCATAAATAATTTGTTGTTTCTGATGGTCTAGAACCGCCAGTGTTTCAGTATGAGCAGGGGTCCAGATAAAATAGTTTTGTTTACATATGTAATTGCAGTATGAAGCCAGCAGATGTCGATGTTGCACAATTTCTATGTCATTTTTATCTATGTAAATAATTGCATTTTCTTTGTCAACATATATTCAGTCGCATAAATTTTATTGTTATTTCCTGCAGATTCTTAAGAGCCTTAACATCAGACATTGTTTTTTGTTTTAGTTTTGTTGAACTTGTCTACTTCCAGATCGACACTGGACAGGTTCTGTAAATGTTGTAGAAACAGAAAACTAATAAATAAAACGATTAATAAATAAAACGAGGACCGAACAGATGATTGATTTCCATTCACATATGAATTTTCGACTCTTATTGAAAAACTCCAAATGTTAATATAAAAAAAACCCAAGACTTTCACGTGACAATTAGGAGCATTATTTTGAAAGCAAAGCGGAAACGCTTCTAAGTTACTCTAATTGATGTTCCTCAGTGAGCGGCGCTCAGTGAGTTGCGCTCCAAGACTGCGCGTCCACATCAGGTGAGAACTCCATTACTTTCTATTAATGTCCTTCTGAAACGTTACTGGGTTCGGTAAATGAGAAGAAAAGGTTTGTTAAACCTCTAAAGACTGAGCTGGAAACATAGTGACAGCAAGGAAAGAAGTTAGGGAAGGGAAAGGCTGAGGATCCCTGAGGATCCCTAACAAATGCTGTTTTTCTCTCCTCGCTTTTCGTAAAATAAACTTAGAGCTTGTATGATAACTTTAATCCATATATTAGGCATATTTATTGATTTTTGTTTTTAATAAATTCAGAAAAAAATCATATATATATATATATTAATTGAAAGAAAAGATATATATATATATATATATATATATATATATATATATATATATATATATATATATATATATATATATATATATATATATATATATATATGTGTGTGTGTGTGTATGTGTGTGGGTGTGTGTGTGATTTTGAATTTGTTAAACACAAAAATCAATAAAAATGCCTATATGTTTTGACTCTTAAGTTTTTCTATAGAAGAAGGTTTCTCTACTATCACTGCAGCTCCACTGAGCCACTTGGGGATAACAAGCCAGATTTGGAGCCCTTGTTTACATTCTGGCTCATGTTAAGCAGGATCTGTGCAGTTGTTTACTGCCTGGCAAGGTGCCTGGCTGCTTTTAGATCATGTGTCAGAGGAGAGACATGCATTGGCATCTGCTGCAGGGCTGCAGTGCTGGACAACCACCTGAGGTGGTACTGACTGTGGTGCTGCTTCAACCAATCCGCACTGCAGGTTGGATTTTAATTCCAGGCTGATTTGTCAGTGGCAGAAGTAGATAAATCCCCAGAGACAGAAAATACTTTTTTTTGGGGGGTTCGGTTAGTTTCTTTTTGTAGTGATTCTGCTGTCAAAAAGAGGTGATTTTTAAGTAGCAGCTGCCTCAAAGTATTAAACACAACTAAAGCCTTTTTAGAATAAACTAGAAAATTGCTTAACTACTCTAAATAAATCCTTTCTAAAGTTTTTTTTTGCAGCAGAGGAAGAGAAACAGATCAGTTTCAGGCTTGTGACAGAGCAAGCTTCCAAGTTAAGCTCTTATTATTTGGGGTTTTCTCTGCTTTTAATGTATAACTGATGTTAGAGAAAATAAAATGTTTCAGTGGATTCAGGTATTTCAACCAACAACTAATATATGACTGACAATTCATATTAACTGTTAGATATATTCCATGTGTTGCAGTTTTGTAAAGGCTAGGCCATTAAAGTTCTAAAGATGGGGATTCCAAACCTGACAGTTCTTTCACAGACCGATAACCTTTGTAAATAAGGAGCCCACTTTAATATGTCACCACTAAGAAAAAGATTTGAATTTATTTCATTTTGTTGTAGCAAATAGAGAATATCTACAGTCACATAAATATTTTATCTCAATTTTAAGACTTATGTAAGTTTATTACATAAAGAAATCCCACTTATTCCTTTTGGATGAATTTTAAAACCAACCTATTTTGTAAACTTTACATGAGGAATATTCAATTGTATGATCAACTTTATTTCAGTTACATAATCATCAGTTTTTATATTTAGTATTAATAAAGTTTACCTACTTAAAATGACTAATAACGAAGGTATTTATGTTAAATACATAACGTTTGTTTGGGTTCCATAAAAGCAACCTTGATTTTTATGCAATTCAATAAATAAACTTTATTTCTTCGAAATAAAAGCACTTAGTGATAGTAGGATCAATTCCTAATGGATAAAATTAATGTATTTTATATAAATAAGCTATATCAAAATATTTAGTATGCACAGTGTAAGGTTTATTTAATAGATTTGTGTTAAAAAGTAAATGGGATCTTGTTTTGTAATAAAATTAGAGATGCAGCGATTCAGTTCCCCCCCCATCCAATCCGATCCGATACCCGACCTGAGTGTATTGGCCGATATCCGATACCAATCTGATTCAACTGTGAAATTAATTCACCATATATATTGATATGGAAGTGAAGGTTTTAGCCTTGAAATAAACACCGTTAAAAAAAGGTAACAAATGAACATAAATAAAAATGTCCCTTGTATCATTTATTTAAAAAATAAGCAGCAAGAAGAAAGAAATAACAGTTCCATGTAAAGTGCACTGGATTGGGTCTCCGATATCCAAAATCAAATCACCAATATCTGATCTAGCTAATTAGTCAATATTTAATATCAGATCCATGTATTGGATCAGTGCATCTCTGAATAAAATGACATAGAGTGAAATATTTTTATGAGTGTACAGCCTCAACCTACAAACATTTATTAAAGGGCCTTTTAGTTTCTTACAATACTTTTAATTGAAAGCAAAGAGTAAATAAGTAAAATACTTTATTTATAAAGTTCCTTTTACACCCGGAAGGTAATACATAGTGGAAAAAGAAGCATAAAAAGCACAACAAAATTTTGGCACAAATGCTGAGATAAAATAATTATGTTTTTATTCATTTATTTATTTTTTTAAGTATACCCAGAGAAGTTCAAGAGGGGAAACAGTTCTTTGAATGAAAGGCACCGTCCCCATTCAATCGTTGTGCTTGCACGGGGAACAGTTAAAAGACTCCGGGTTTGGAACTGAAGGCAACAAGCAGCAGAGTGTTTAGCTAAAAGCTGAAGCAGATAAACAGAAGGCTTCCCATTTAAAGCCCTATGGATGAGAAGAGCTTCTTTAAACCCACTTCTACAGGTGCTGGTCATAAAATTAGAATATCATGAAAAAGTAGATTGATTTCAGTAATTCCATTTAAAAAGTGAAACTTGTATATTATATTCATACATTACATACAAACTCATATATTTCAGATGTTTATTTTGTTTAATTTTGATGATTACAAATGACAACAAATGAAAATCTCAAATTCATCATATCAGAAAATTAGAATATTACTGAAGACTTATAGAAATGAAAGGATTTATAGAAATGTTGGCCAACTGAAAAGTATGAACATGAAAAGTATGAGCATGTACAGCACTCAGTATTTAGTTGGGCCTCCTTTGGCCTGTATTACTGCAGCAATGCGGCGTGGCATGGAGTCGATCAGTCTGTGGCACTGCTCAGGTGTTATGATAGCCCAGGTTGCTCTAATAGTGGCTTTTAGCTCTTCTGAATTGTTGGGTCTGGTGTATTGCATCTTCTTCTTCACAATACCCCATAGATTTTCTATGGGGTTAAGGTCAGGAGAGTTTGCTGGCCAATTAAGAACAGGGATACCATGGTCCTTCAACCAGGTACTGGTAGCTTTGGCACTGTGTGCAGGTGCCAAGTCCTGTTGGAAAATGAAATCTGCATCTCCAAAAAGTTGGTCAGCTGCAGGAAGCATGAAGTGCTCTAAAACTTCCTGGTATGTGGCTGCGTTGACCCTGGACCTCAGAAAACACAATGGACCAACACCAGCAGATGACATGGCACCCCAAACCATCACTGACTGTGGAAACTTTACACTGGACTTCAAGCAACGTGGATGAAGTGCCTCTCTTCTTTTCCTCCAGACTCTGGGACCTTGATTTCCAAAGGAAATGCAAAATTTAATTTCATCAGAGAACATGACTTTGGACCACTCACCAGCAGTCCAGTCCTGTTTCTCTTTAGCCCAGGCAAGACGCTTCTGACGCTGTCTGTGGTTCAAGAGTGGCTTGACACAAGGAATGCGACAGCAGAAACCCATGTCTTTCATACGTCTGTGTGTGGTGGTTCTTGAAGCACTCACTCCAGCTGCAGTCCACTCTTTGTGAATCTCCCCCACATTTTTGAATGGGTTTTGTTTCACAATCCTCTCCAGGGTGCGGTTATCTCTCTTGCTTGTACACTTTTTTCGACCACATCTTTTCCTTCCCTTCGCCTCTCTATTAATGTGCTTGGACACTGAGCTCTGTGAACAGCCAGCCTCTTTAGCGATGACCTTTTGTGTCTTGCCCTCCTTGTGCAAGGTGTCGATGGTCGTCTTTTGGACAACTGTCAAGTCAGCAGTCTTCCCCATGATTGTGTAGCCTATAGAACTAGACTGAAAGACCATTTAAAGGCTTTTGCAGGTGGTTTGAGTTAATTAGCTGATTAGAGTGTGGCACCAGGGGCCATCAATTTTGAACCTTTTCACAATATTCTAATTTTCTGATATGATGAATTTGAGATTTTCATTTGTTGTCATTTGTAATCATCAAAATTAAACAAAATAAACATCTGAAATATATGAGTTTGTATGTAATGTATGAATATAATATACAAGTTTCACTTTTTAAATTGAATTACTGAAATCAATCTACTTTTTCATGATATTCTAATTTTATGACCAGCACCTGTAAGATCCAGTGGAAGTTATTATAGAGACTGGCTGTCATGTTCTCAGTAGCTCACAGAAGTGAAATTATGACCAAAATACATGAAAAACACTTTCTGTTTCTGCTGTTTTTCACATTTAGAAACATTTCCAAAATAACATTAACAAGAAAGAGAAAAAAAATCTGATGTTTGCATCAAATGAACAAGACATAAAGCGGTGCAGCTTAATGGAAAATAAAACATATTTTTAGGACAACACAGAAAGCATAGTAGAATGACCTTTCCTCTTATTATTGTTTTATTTCTACTGTCTTTATTCTGTTTTTTTTATTGTATTTTGTCTAATGACTTACTTACTAAATTCTTTACTATTTTCTAACTCTTTGTCTTATATGCATGTTTGAAACAGTTACTCTTAAATATGGAACGATGTGTTTCAATGAGATATACTTGTAAAATTTAATTCATTTCAGTTTATTTATATAGCGCCAATTCACAACACATGTCATCTCAAGGCACTTTACAGATACAATTTAACCAGATCATACAGTCAAATTGTAAAAATTAAAGTGAAATAAAAAAAAATACATATAATAACAATGTTCATGCAATGCCACCCCTGACAACAGGGCTACACTGACATGGAGGCAATTTGATCAGGTAGTAATTAAAGGGTAACTCAAACAAGACATTATTGGGGCTGGTATCAGACTTTCATAGTAAGTATTTAAGTATTCTTAAAAAAACAACAACAAATATCTGCAGCAATAGTGCTCCTTTAAAATACTGCAACAGTGATGCCTCCCGCTGTTCAATAAGATTCAATAAGTAAATGGGTTTATCTCCTGTTTATTGCCCATCTGCTTTTTATAGCCTGATGGTGCACCAAGCTAATATTAGCTGGGTACTATCAGCAGAAGCAACTCAACCGTACGCAGTCAAATCCTCCTAATGACAGAATTGTTTGATTAAGCTGTGTTAAAGCAGAGCAACATCTAAAAGTTGCAATCAGTGAATTAAATGTAGCCCTGTGAAAGAGTTTAGGTCAAAATGTTTAAAAAAAGTCCCTTTTTTAATGTTCAGAGGCATGTTTCCATGGTAATGATGTAGGTGATTAAGTGTATCTTTAAAGGGAAAGACTTAAAGGGATTTCTCTCTGTGTATTTTCAACAGGTCACCTGCATTGTGATGGCAGGTGGGGCTACTGGTGCCACCTTCATGCTAACAGAAATGGACTATGACCATCCTCTAAACCCTTCTGCAAACTAAACCATCAGATAATGGACCTGAACGCCGGTGCCAAAAGGAAGGCTATATCCCTGATCACTGAAACCGATTATAGATGAAGCTTAAACATATGTTTTGATATTATTTAACAGCAAGGATTCTGGGGTTACCTTCTAATATGCAGACAGAAGTTTGCTGAACATCTGTTTATTAGAGAGACAGAGAAACAAGCCGCCTCTGCCTCCATCCTTTGGACAAGCTTTGCCTCTATGGTTTCATCCGCAGCCATGGGAAAGGAACATGATCTGCTGGTGGCTGCGAAGAATGGAGATCTTCTGCAGGCGCACAAGCTTCTCTCTAAAGTCAAGTGCAACAAAACTAGTGAGTAAAGGTTATGAGAGGCGGGTAATGCTGTGGTGTGTAAAGATGTTAGAGCTCTGTTTGTTTCCTCTAGGAAAAGCTACCGCAATCAATGCTGTTGTTACTTTCCAGCTGTATTTGGTTGGAATAATCACGGCAGCAGGTTTGGCTGTTGACTGTAAAAATAGCAGCTATAACCTAGATTTAAATGGAATCAAACTGCAGCATCAGCTTAAATCCAAGTCCTCTATCTTGTGGGGTTTAAAAAGGAATTGATTTAGCTGGAGTTTGTTTTTTTTTCTGCATGTATTCTGAATTGAACAAAAAGCCTGGTCTTTTTTAGTGTTGCATTGTTATAAATAACTAAAGTTTTTGTTTTGGCAAGAGTTACGGAAAGTAAGGGAAACGCTCGGCTGGAGCATCTGTTTGTGTTGTGATCTCAGTGACAATCTCTGGGAACAAAGCAGCAGCTGTTAAAGGACAGAAGGCGCTAAGTGAGCGGCCACTGCTTGGCAGGGAATAATTAAAGTGGTTCTGTTTGCTTTGGTTCTTCTCTGTTTATCTGTCACTTTAGCAGTTCTTAAAACAACCTCAAACAGGAGGCAAAAAGTTCTGTGCTGTGTTATATGAAGGCTGTGCTACACCAGGCTTTTTCCCAGGTTCAGTATTTTAAGCTTTGGAAAAATAATAATTTTTAAAAGGAAAAACAGATCAAACATTCTGTAGAGCCCTGATATTCATTCTTAATGAATGCTTTTTATTTTGAGGGCGGGTGCTGTAACTGCAGATTTTAACGATCATTGGTATATCTGAAGGCTGGCCACCTGACAGCTTTGGCTGGGCACAGGACAAGATAATCTTAGATGGGCCCCCACTCATGACATTTATTCTTTAAAGACATGATTAATACTGATACTGTATTCCATTAGCTTCTTTCTCCATTCATAAACCCTCCACAAACCAACCCTATTTGCACCATGCTTTAAATCTTTTAAACTATACTTGTTTGCAACACCTTCTAAATTACTGTATCTTCTATCTGACAGTGACACAATGTCTCCATTAATTCATTTCTTGGAGCAATAGATAAATGAATCTGATGTCTTCAACAAAGGCTATGAAAAAAAGTATTTACTTATTAATAAAGAGTTTTAAGGTGTATAAGTTGTTTGCTTATTTAAATGATTCAATAAATCCTTTATTTTGAAATTTAGAATTAGCCACAGCGGTTTAATCGCTTGAAAATTTTGGGCCTTTTTGCTTTCCGTATTTAACAGTTTTTAGAGCCCAAGCTTGGTAAAACAGTCTGATTTGGTCAACCAATTTATGAGGATTATCTAAAGCTGGTTTTCTACAGGTAGTATATATAATATCCCCACAGGGATAAATAGATCATTGTAATATTATGTACATTTGTATCCCAAGACCTCATTGCATGTCTGGAGAATCTTGATGACTTTAATGAAGACTTTGTGCCATGAGTCTCTAAAAGTCCAGCTTTTGCGAGGAGAAAGACACTCTTCTTTTTTTTTTGAGGTTTGCATTTCTTTCAAAGTAAGCCTTGGCCTCTTCCCTGTATGATTACTGACTTTACCCTATTCTTGTTTTTAATCCTCTGTCCTGTTTTGCTGAAATAAGTCTGAGTCATTCTGTTGTTCTCTGGCTATGTCTAATGGTGCTTCATTGACTATTTTTTTGTTGTTGTTGTTGTGGTCCCCTATATAAAATCCTGATAAGTATTCCAAATTGCTCATCTACAATAAATAAAAACACAAAGGAATTAGTAACCTTGATGGGTGCTGGTGCCTATCTGGCGGGGTACACCCTGGACAGGTTGCCAGTCCATTGCATGGCAACACAGAGACAAACAGGACAAACAACCATTCACACTCACACCTAAGAAGAATTTAGAGAAGCCAATTTAACATAACAGTCATGATTTTAGACTGTGGGAGAAAGCCGGAGTACCTGGAGGGAACCCATGCATGCACAGGGAGAACATGCAAACTCCATGCAGAGCCTGGAACCTTCTTGCTACAAGGCAGCATTGCTACCCACAGCACCACTGAGCAGGCTATAAAATTAATTCTCTATTTTTTATTTTTTTTTTCTGTTAAAAATCTATATTTAAACATTTTGTTCTTTGACCAGTACAATCAGCAATCGAGACTTTGTACTTCATTTGGTATATATGCAACTTCATGGTAACATGCAAATTATGAACTGCACTTATCAGCTATGGTAAGTGCAATTCAGTGAACTAAACTCCCTACCTCCACTACACAGAAAGGTGCCCTAGAGTTATTTCTAATGTGCTTTTATTCTTTATTTATTATTAAAAAAGTTAGGTTTCTCTATTACTGTAATATAAACCAAAGGATTCTTTAAAAACTAACTGAGAGTAAGCATGAGTCATAACCAATATGAAGTTATACCAAGATTAAAAAAGATTGATTTTTGAAAGTTCAAAAACTCTTTACCCCTATTGCTGTTTACATTTGCTTTGTTTTTCGTTTGTTAAAATATTCAGTTTGATTCTTTAAAACAAGCTTGGTTGTTTTATTTCTTCATCTATTGACCAGAAAACACTTCTGCTGGGTATTTGTGGGTGTTTACAGATGACAAAACTTATTTCTCAAAGGATTTGAATTGATCAGACTTAGAGTTATAAATTGGGTATTTAGCATGTCCATATGACACGCAACTAGACAGGCAAATTAATCAGCTAAAATCTGAAAAAAATTTTGTTATTGCAAAAGATATGAGCATGTCCTGTGTTCATACTTGCTTGGTATTAACTCATCTTTCCATGAACGGATGGATGATGTCAGACTGCAGAACTTGCTGCTTTAGTAGAATTACGACGGACGACTTAAATTTTCTCATAAAACTTACACTGCTGGATATTTGTTTTAAGTCTTTGTTTGAAAGAGAGTTAAATCAGTCAGTGCACCTTACCCAATGAACTAGCACAGGGGTTCAAGCAACAAGTCGGCACAGTGATTATGTAATAAGCTCAGAATATAGGACCCAGTATTCAGGTGAAACAAACAGTGGAATACTTGAAAAACAATTATTTAAACACAGGCAGACCTGCTTAACTGCAGCGACTAGGGTGTCGGAAGCAGGAACGTCTGTTGGAGAGAAACACAAGTTTGTGAATGCAATAATCTGATGGAAGATGATTATGAATGCTCGAATCACTAACCTGGTGTGACAGTTCAGTCCTGTGCCCAAAGAACGGGGATGGTTCCAGCCAGTCGACTGAACAGAAGCAGTAGTTGCTGCCAGAGGGTTCCATACCTTGGAAGGCTGCAGAGCTGACAGGAGATCAGATCCAAGTAGACAAAGACAGACAGGACAATCAAAAGGGCGAAGTCAAGAGGCAGTTCCAGGTTCAATCCACAAAACTATCCGACAGGAGACCAAACACAGGTAGGTAGGCAAACTAATAAGACAGGGGCAGGCGAGCTCAAAGTTCCCAAGACAGAAACTGATCAGGATCAGACAATCAGAACACTTAAGTAACGCTAGAAAACTCGTTACTCAAAAGGCTCAAAATTAATCTGGCACTGTTGGCTGGGAAACAGGCAGCCTAAATAGGAAATTGGAACAGGTAAATCTGATGAGTGAAGAGGAACGGGGCAGATTTAGGGAAGTGAAAGGAATGATCAATCAAGCCAGCCACTAGTGCCAAAATCTTGACAGATAATGTCTTAAACAACTGATCGACTGTTGTACGTGTCAATCATCGTACTTGTTGAGAAGTAACTGACTGCCATCTTTAATGGTACTTTTACCTTTCATGTAAGTCGGGCCAGTCATTGGTCAACTGAGCTGTAGTTTTAGAACAAAAATGGTGGAAATTGCATCTGCCTCTCTGTCAAATCAGCCATGTTTGAAAAAAAATTAAAAGGCAGTTTCTTTACAATGAAAAGACTTAAACTTTCATGATAAATGATAGGTATGGTCAGTTTGTTCGATTTCTCTAATAGCCCCAGCAGCACAACGGGGAAGCACAATGAGAACGTAAAGATACGATGTCCAAGGCCAGCTAATAAACCTACAAAAAAGTTTGTTTAATATGTATTAATTCACTCTATATTTATAACATTGTCTTTTTGATTTTATTTTCCCTGAATCAGTATCGAGGATTCCCCTCCCTCCATGTTAGATTGATAAATACGACTTCACCCATGGTTGAATGATTTCAGCACCTTCTACGGTAATCCATCCCACCTGGTGATTTGGTAGTTTTTCCCACACAAACCTCGCAGTACCTGATGCTGTCAGAGCATTGCTATGCTCTGACGGTGTCAGCTGTGTGTCCTCTGGCGATCTCCTCTTCAAGGGGGGAAAAATGGGTGCTATTGCACTGTCAGTAATGTTCTGGATGATAAAGTAAGATTCTTTTGGTTTTTAGAAGAATTTTTTTGCTTAGAGGAAAAAGTAGGTGGACTAAAAGTAGGTACTATATATTGCTCCACTTGTTAAGCTCCTTACATAGCTTCTAAAAATTTATAAACACATTTATTAAAATAAGTTATACATTTTGCACCTCTAGAAACAGTTATAAGTAAGTTTTTCCAGCATTCTGTTGAGGCATCACACTAAGGCCTCCCAGAGATGCTCTCATCTTTTCTCTCTGTCATGCTCTCACTATGACACGTAGCTTTCAGCTCATTCTCGAGAACTCTTGCAGGGTAGAATTCATGGCATGCTCATTTGTCAACTTGGGCAGAGCAACGAATGTCCAGCAGCAGCAGATCAGATGCTGCAGCTGCTGGAGAGGGCTTCACAGACGACCTCCCTTCTCTCCTATTTACAGAACCCTGTCAATAAGGCAGGATGGAATGGCTTGTATGATCTACTTTTAAAGGACAGAGAAACAACCAGTCCAAAAATAAGGTTATATTGAGAACTTGTGCTACCTGTTTACTAATATAGACTTACTCTCGATAAATGGTAACATAATTTTTCCCCCTAGTGGTAAAAAACACAACTCAATGAATACCCTACCA